GTTTAAAGCGACAGGAACACTTTCAATCTTTCTCTGATCTCTCATGCTAAGTTTACTCTTCGTCATGCTGTTAGAGTGTCATGCACACCGCTGGACGAAATTAATAATTCATATTAAGGTAGTGCTCTGTTCAGGTTTCACTTGTTTTGTCATTTGATGCTTTATTTTACAGTGCTAGACTCGACCTGCGATGTCACTCAGACGTGCGTTACTCTGGTTGCATCTGTACTTACAGAACGCAACAATGTCTATATTGAAAAATATTGAGAGAGACAGAGGTACAGTTGAATTGGTAAGGATCAGGGGCCTCATGTACAATAATTTTAATATGTTTATGCATAATCTAAATAATTTCTCTGTGCATGACCTGCATAATCCATATGCACGTTTCCATTCATGTTATAGCACCAAGTTTAGCATACCTGTCATCACCAAGTTTACTTTTGCTAAATCCTGATATGTGCATGGGAAATCACGTACGCATTTCCATGGCCGTGTGCATCGTTTATCAGACCCAAGGTCTGTATTTACAGTGATTTGTGGAGCAGAGCTCAATGAAACCGGATCTGTTGTATATTGTGTGTCTGCGGTCAGGATATCTTAAGCTGGGTTTGAAGGGTTTTATGCGCTTTCTGTTTTTTTCCTGGCGGAGGCGAAAAGATATAATGTCAACTCACTCCTTGAAACGTGTCTCTGGTTAGTTGCAGTCATTGGTTTTGTGGTGGCTGGAGGAAATGTGCAGCACTGTAGTATTTATCACCGATATGCGATTGTTTTAATGATGCGGAAGAGACCGGCACATGCCTGAAATAACACTGACACATATAATGCAGTTTTAAGACAGCATAGGAGATCAAATTAACACTTACATTCAAAATTAATAAACATTTTTGGTTTACTAGTGATTGGATTTTAGTAGATTTTGATGACACACACACACACACACACACACATAATCAACGTATATGTATATGCGTTTGTTTGTTTGTTTGTGTGTGTGTGTGTGTGTGTGTGTGGCTGACAGCATGTGATGACCTATGCCGGGATGCATTCACACTGAATTCAGCTTTCAGTGTGTGTGTTCAGTGCAGAGAGAGAATCTGCTGCTGTCTGTGAGAGGATCACACACACACACACACGACTGTATGTGTGCTTCACAGAAAATCAGACCTTGTCTTGCCAAGCATATGTCAGCACTTTGCAATCAAAAAATGTATTTCTATGTGCCCATTATCATATTTCTTTGTTAATGATTTTAGCATATTAAAAGCTCCAGTGTGCACAAGTAGAAATCTGATTCATGCGTCTCTTTTTCCTTCATTATTTGTTCAATCTTACAATTGTTTTCTGATTAATTGGACACATTCCTGAAATGTTCCCTCCTCCCGCTCTTTAATTAAACCTCGGCCGTTTGTTTCTCAACGTGAGCGTTCAGGGTCAAAATTCAGCTGTGTGTCAGTCGAGCTTATTTTATGCTTTTGTTCCCGGTGACTTTTATACAATTTGCAAGATTGACCTACTAGAAGAGAGATGTGCCACCTACACCTACTGCAGACAGCCCGGTTTCTTCTTTCGGTCTTTATCCTCACGCGTGCATGCGCGTGTGTGTGTGTGTGTGTGTGTGTGTGTGTGTGTGTGTGTGTGTGTGTGTGTGTGTGTGAGAGTGTGTGAGAGTGTGTGTGTGCATGTGTGTATGTGTGTGTGTGGGTGCACATATGTGGCGAGGGCTGAATAAAAGTGGAGCGTGAGGTTTGTTTGGTTCTTAATCTGCCTCTTAAAGACATCTGTCAGTGCTGATCACTATTGTTTGTCATGCTCGAGACACGCTCTTCTTAATCTGCCTCTTAAAGACATCTGTCAGTGCTGATCACTATTGTTTGTCACGCTCGAGACACGCTCGGCACA